CCCACAGTCTTTCTGATTTGCAAAGCCATAGAACAGACTTTGGAGAAATCGTAGTCACAGGAATGTGTATGGTAACCCTGGAAATAAATGATGGGACCAACCTAAGTGTCCATCAGCAGAAGAATGAAGAAAATGTGGTCAGTAAACACAACGGAATTCTATTCAGTTTTCAAAAAGAAGTGAATTCTATCATTTGTGACAACATGGGTGGGATTGGAGAACATTATGCCAAGGGAAATAAGCCAAACACAGAAAGACAAATACTGCTTGATTTCATGTCTACATGGAATCTCAAATAATCAAATTCATGGAAGTAGAGAGTAAAATGGTGGTTACCAAAGGCTGGAGGTGTGGGGGAAATGGGGAGATGACGGCCAAATGTACAAAGCCTAAGTTAGGTGGGACAAATAAGTTAGTTTGTGTTTTTTTAAGATCTATTACACAGCATGGTGGATATATTTAATAATAGTGCATCGTACATTACAAAATCTCCAAGGGTAGATTTCAAATGTTCTCACTGCAAAAAAAATACTTAAGGTAATGGGTATGTTAATTAGCTTGATGTAATTATTTCACATTGTATTCATAAATCATAACATCCCTTTGTGCTCCATAAATATACACAATTGTTAATATAATTTGTCAGCTTTGCACAGTGGCAGTATCATAGCCAATGAAGTTTATTCAAGGGCACGATTACTGCTATACTTTGTCTATTTACCTTAAAAACAAATGAACAAATAAAATTCAAGGGCTATGTGGATATGCATTTAAGGTTTAGGCATTTCATTGTATGACAATTTTACATAAAGAGAAAAAACTGTAAACTAGTATTAAACACTAATGATAATCTTATTGAAGTATTTAGGGGAAAGTATACTGATATGCTATGTAATTTGAAATGCAGAAAAATAAGATGGAGGATGAATGGATTGATTGATGGATAGCTGGATAGAGGCATGAAGAGATGGGGAAATAGGATATAAAACAAGCATAGTAAGATGTTAACTGGTGTATATGTATCTTAATGGAATTTTGGGTATATGAATGTTCATTATAAAATTTTTTTAACTTTGCTGTATGTATAAAAATATTTTGATAGCAAAATGGAAAATGAACTAGATGCAAGGTAAGTAGAATATAATCTTTTTTGTGATTATCTTGAAATAGCCTATCTGAAACCAGTAAAGTGCTTGGTTGCATAGTAGATTCTAAATTAATATTTCTGGTGCCTCATATGCACACACAAATGTAACTTTCCACCTATTAATGGATTCGTTATGATGAAAACAAAGTTAACCCAATCAATGTTTCCACTGGGTTAAGGAACAATCCGATTCAACATTGTCGGCCTACAGAGTCACCACTGACTTGAGGAATTCGTTTTATTGGCAGTTTTTACAAAAACTGGGACACCATAGACTTATAAATCTACAAGGTATTGAATCACAACAGAACTTACCTTGACCTTAGAAGATGAAGTATTAAGGTTTTTCTATTTAGTTTTATTTCATACAACAATTCTTCTTCGTATGTCTCCTGAAAAACAAGATCCAT